GCTTGGACCACGGGAGGGCGGGGGGCGTGTTGCCTGCGGGACACAGACAGTCGGGGGCCGGCCTGGCGGGCGCAGGGCGGAGCCCGAGGGGAGCACTAGCCAGCTAAGGCCTGGGCACTGGCCAGACGCCCGGAGGCAGTGCCTCCTCTCAGCGCCACGGCGCGGCTCCTGGGGACAGCGGCCTGGCAGAGAGCTCCGGTAGGACGGGCCTGAGCGCAGCAGCACGGGGCAAACCGCACGTCAGGGTTCACTGGAAAAGGGATGCAAGTGAAGGGCAGGGCTGGGCACGGGCGACGGGAGGGACCACGTGATGGTTCCGTGGTCTGTTCACGCCCTCAGCGGCACCGGGCAGACAGGACGCTGGGCTGGACGGGCCTTTGCTCTGACCCGCTCTGGCCGTTATAAGCACGTAAGGACGGAGAAGATCTTATTGCCTCTATCCATCGCCGTGACGCCAGACGTGCCCACCCCATCTCAACAAAGATCTCTTGGCGTTGGAAAAGGGTCAGAAAAGGGCAACAAAAACGATGAGGGGTTTGGAACGGGTCCCATGTGAAGAGAGATTAAAGCGACTGGGACTTTTCCGCCTAGAAAAGAGGAGACTGGGGGATATGACAGCGGTCTGTACAATCAGGGCTGGCGCGGAAAAAGTGAATAAGGAAAAGTTCTTCACTTGTTCCCACAATATAAGATCTCGGGGGTCCGCCAATGAAATGAACCGGCAGCAGGTTTAAAAAAAGAAAAGGGAGTTTTTCTTCACACGGCGCATAGTCAACCTGTGGAACTCCTTGCCTGAGGAGGTTGTGAGGACCAGGACTGTAACAGGGCTCATGAAAGAGCTGGAGGTTAGGTCCAGCAATGGCTACTAGGGACAGTGTCCCTGGCCTCTGTCTGTCAGGGCTGATAATGGGCGACGGGACGGATCCCTTGATGGTTCCCTCCTGCGGTTCAGTCCCTCTGGGCCCTGGCCCGTGGGCACAGGACACTGGGCTGGATGGACCTTTGCTCTGGCCAGGTCTGGCCGTTCTTAGGTTCCCCATCCCTGCGTGGGGCTCTGGCTGCTGCCCCGCTCTGCCCGAGGCCAGCGGCCGTGCCTGGCAGGTACCTGTGGCAGAGCACCGGAGGGGGGGGGTTTCTCCAGCTCTCACTGTCAGCGTCGGTTTCACGGTGACCTCAGGGGCGCCGGGCTTTCTGTGGGCGGCTTCCACGCTCACCTCCACCTGGACCTGCGCGGAGCCGACGGCGTTCTGGGCCAGGCAGACGTAGGTGCCGGCGTCCTC